TCACCAGTCCAAGCCAAATCACGAACACTCTTTGACAAGACACGCTTTTCCAATTTGATGGTCTTGTCAGCATTTTCAGTTGACCAAATACGAACATTACCTGACTCATCTCCTGAAGCAATGTAAAAACCTGTTGGTGCGAACTTTGCAACATTGACCTTATGAGTGTGTTGAGTATAATAGTCAATAGAAAGCAAATTGTTCAAATCACGGATCAAAACATTGGTTCCAGAACCATAGGTGAATTTACCAGACTTGGAGGCAGGAGCAGCAGAAATAAAAGTTGGACGGCCTCTTTCGGTATTTGGGACACCACCGTATACGTTTTCTTTATAAAATGTTATTGTTGTTATTTGCAGTAGTATCACACGACATCATCATGATTCAAACAAATCATTGTATACAACAGATCAAAGTGTCGGTATCATTATTAATCATCAATGATAATACATTGTATTCATTATCCGCATCAAATCATCATGTATACACCAACATCAAAAAAGAATCATCAAGCTTAAGATATTCCTTGCCCAAGCGAGAAAAAATACTTACGGAGAGAGATGGACATTTTTTTTGTGTTGAATTGTGATGGCTTGTATTGACGACTTGAAGCTTTTTGATGGTAAAGTGAAGTAGGATGAAATGTTTCAGACATAAACAGGTGTTGAAATAAGTAATTGTAATAGATGCATCTCTCTAGTAATTTAATTATTGTTTTAATGAGTGTAATAAATTCTAAGAATAGTGTCGAAGAATATTTCCTTTCTCTTTGCCCAGTATTAATGATCCTTAATGAATACCTTACCATAGATGCAATAAATTGTAATCAAACAAGAATTGGGGTTGAAATGTTATTGTAAAAGACACTACCCATCTGGAAGTTAAATAGAAACAAGCGCAAATCCCTTCATTCTCTAACAAACAAAGTCTCACATCCGACTTGATGTTGTTTTTGAATTGCTTCTAGATTATTCACATCATCTATTAGTTATCAAAGAAAATGTCTCTATTATTAACTGTTTTATGTATTACAGCCTCTGCTCTGGCAGTTTGGTTGATAAAATTATGGATACAAACGAATGCCCAATTTGAAAAAATGAAACATGTGCCAGGAGCTTGGCAATTGCTTTCATTTTCATTCTTTCATATTCCCTTCCTTTCTCCTTATAGTTATATTGGTAGCTATAACGATCTGGTCAAGGCTGTGGAAAAGTATGGAGACCCAATAACTAAAACATTCAGATTGACCACTTCTAAATCAAATTCTGTTTGGATTAGTGATCCAAAATTATTGAAAGAATACTTCATTGCAAAGGCTCACAATTTCGAAAAGCCAAATTACAATGTGGCAGCCTTCTTTGGGGAAAATATTCTATCAGCACAAAACAATGAAAGTTGGAAGAAACACTTTAAAGTTTGTAATCCAGCATTTGGTCCAAAAAATCTCAAATATCTCTGTAAGGTTGCAGTAGAGTCTTGTAATTCAATGTTTGAGATGTGGGATAGGAGATGCGATGGTACAAACAATTGCATTCTCGAACATGATGACTACCCAAATTTGAGTTTGCAAATTTTGGGCTTGGCAGGTTTAAATATTGACTTTGGTATCTATGCGGAGGAAGCAGAGGGTAAACAATCAGAT